ACTGTGCTCTCACTCTGAATACAAGCTTTTACATTATATAAAACCAGGCACTCATCACCAAATTTACATTTCCCTACAACTTCCTCAGCAATTTTTCTCCCAAGTTTGTGTTCACACCCACCACTCTGCTTGAGAGTTAATTTCTGCAGATCCCTAGAGGGGTTCTTTATTTTCTGATTCTCAGTAGTTCTGCGGACTGTTACGTGAATCTCCTTCAGGTTTGCCAGTCAGCTGTCTGTTTTCCAGGGTTAGAAATAGAACTGCAATCTGTGGGCAACTGAGCAATGCAGAGTATTCACCCTGCAGGGACCAGTGTTTGCCAAGCTTTAAAAAACAAAACAATATTTGGGAAATATTGTCAGGGATTCTACTCACAATGTGGGGAGAATGTTGGGTGGGGATGGGGGCAGAGTGATGGCTGAGGAGACGCAGAGAGCAGAGGACAGCTTTGGGTTATCTTTGGTGGTGGAAAACACAGGTAATGTTCCTGAATGTTGGGTGTCAGACAGGATAATCATCAAAGGACTCTTGTGTTTATTTTCAGTTGTTTTTCATAAGTAAGCAGGTAAGGAGAGATGGCTCTTGGGAAGGTGCTGCAGGCAGTAGAAAGAGTACTTTGAAAGGAACATCTCAACTTGACCTGGGCACATGATCGCTGAGCTGCCCGGGGAAAATCAAAACTGGATTGTAAACTGCAGAGTTGAACAATTAGGTCTAGCCAGGAGATCTGTGTTTGAGATTATCACCACAGAAATGATGAGACCTCCTTGAGAAAAATACAGAATGAAAAAAGAAGAACCAATCTGTGATTTTATGAGACCCAGACTTACTTCTCTGAGAGTTTTCTTTACCAGATTTCAAAGGGAATGTATCAAGTTTTCTCTTTCTTAAAACAAAGACATAAATACCTTTTCATCTCTACTTGTGTCCAAATAGTTTTAAATTGATAATAACAAATGGATTAGGTTACTTCATTTATTAAGTAACAGTAGAACTATACTTGATGAAAGTCACTAAATAATTTTAAGTAAAACAGAGGTGAAAGTCACTTTACTATTTACGTTAAAATCATACTCAATGTGTTCATTGAAGAAAAAATTAAAATTAACATACAACTGAATTAAAGATAAATACACTGATTGCCCATTGCCAAATATGTATCTCTCACAACCATTTCATATATAAATTATATTTTAGTGCTATGATGCTATTAATTAGAACTTTAATATGAAGTTGTAACTGACTTTCACACTTTAAGCTGACAGGAGCCTCTAAGTTGTTTTGTGGGTATTGTTTAAAATTTAGCAAATTTAATGGAAATTATATTATAAATCATGAGAAACCAGAGCTGAACTTCAACTGGAGTCCTCTATGTCTACAGAGAAGCTGTGATCACTGAATGTGGGTGGGAACTCAGTAACTAGTGAGCCCTGTCTGAGGAGCAGCCAGGGGGACCTAAAAAGATGGGCTTTAAATACTTATCATTAATTCCCTCAAAAGTATGGTAGACTAAGCACATTTATAGTTATTAAAAAATAAAACTATATACAAGAAAAACTAAACATTATGCAACAAAATTTAAGGAGATTAACTGAAAGAAAACAATAAGGACAAGGTAATCAGTGAGTGTGAGTGATGCTGTTTGGGACATGAGAGGAGTCACAACAGACTATCGCTCATGTGTGGGCGTTGTGCAGGAAGACCCAGCAGAGAAGTTAACAGATACGAGTTCAAAATATGAGGAGTCCCCATGACAATGGAAGAATGACTTTCAGAGAGAGATGATGTTCAAGTGAAATGACTACTCGAGGAAGGAATTCTGTGTATTCGAGGACAGCTGATGGCCAGTGCAGTGCAAACAGAGCGGGGAGGAGGAAAAGTGGGTCAAGTCCAACCGGGAAGCCCTGAGTGAAAAGGAGCAGACCTGCAGGGAGAGCCCTGGGAGGTTCCCGTGGGGGAAGGGGCGCGTCTGCACTGATGGGAACCTGCTCTGAGGCTGCTCCCCAGGAATGGACCACAGTCCCTGATAGGACAGTCCAGACAGTGGGACGACGGTACTCCAGGGGCGTGAGTAGAAATGGGGACGAGAGGATGTGTAGGTGGAATCTGGGGGAGTGACAAGATCTCCATCTGATGTTAGACAGCATGGGAGGAGACTCAGTAGGAATCTGTTTAATGTATTTACACAATGATCAAATCCCTGGGATTTTAACTGCTAAGGCTTATTTCCCCAAATTAAACTACTAAGGTGAGAAGTTCAAAAGCAAAGTTGGCCCTGTGTTATTTGGGTCCAGACTTCTCCCTAGTCTCTTCTCACCAACTTGTGGTTCTCCATTCCATGGTCACCAAAGGACAGTGGACAAGGACGCTATAGACACTGGGAGGGCAGAGGTGGAATATTCCAGCTGTCCTCCAGGGGAGGCTAGTGCTCCTCTCAGTCAAACTGACAAGGACCAGAGGGGTGGGGAGTCGGGGGGAAAAGGGGAGAGAAGGGAAAGGGTCAAGTCAAGGAACATGTATAAAGGACCCGTGGAAAAAGAGAACAGGGAAAGGAGGGTTGAATGTGGGATGGGGGTAGGGCAAGGGAGATACGTGGGCGAAAATGGGGACAACTGTATTTGAACAACAATTTTAAAAAACTTAAAAAGAAAACATTTCCTTATATGGCAGAGATCACATCTCAGTTTCACAGCCACAAGCTCAGGGAAGGCTGGGCAGTTGGTCCTTTTCCAGAGACACCTATAGGTAGGTGGGAACAAGACCTGGTCACTGTGCAAGAGAGACAAGGGGATGGTGATATGCATATATCCACTAAGCCAAGGTGACAGCCCTCCTAGTCCGTTTGCATAGTTAATAAGGGGTCCCACCCATTCTCTGTCAGCATGTGCATGTCGTGGAGGGGACTGCTGTATGTAAAAATGCACCAACACTAGAGGAGTAAAAAGATAGGTAAATATTGGTGATAGCATTTAACACGCGGGGCTGACACACACTTCTGTGTGTAGAGTGGTTGCTAATGGGGAAGGGTGTCATCCATCTCTTTCCATTCATTCAGTGTGAGTCTTGTCACAGCAAGCCCATGGGGGAGGGACTCCTTAGGGAGCTTGATGGGCATACTGGCAACACGAACTGTGTTGTCACCTGACACACTCTTCTCATTCCCTTCCTCATATTTTGAAGTGACCAACCCCTTGTACCTGATCCCTTCCTCAGAGTCTTAACGTACTAACCCTCTGTGACACCCACAGTCTCACACATGCTGAGTTTTTCCTTATTACCATGAGGACACAGGGAAGAACAGAGGAAACCTCTCTGTGTGACAAACCTCAGTACCACTGACCCAGGTCCTTCTCTGCCCTCAGATATTCTAGGACCAACTGCATGTTAAATTTAACAGTTACCAATGTATGATTTCACATCTAAAACTTTTCCCATACCAATATTCCCATCCAATTACTTTTGCCATAGCATAAAATTGGCAAAAACTGCTAACACATATTATTCAACACAACTTAGATAAGGTATATCTCATAAATCTTATCCTGAGTAAAAAATGCTGAACACAATAATAGTTTATTATCTCAACATCAACTAATGAGTTAGTTGACTTGTAAGATATCAATCTAACATTTTTAAAACACTGTTTTCCATTTATTTGCTTGCCATGGCCTTTCTTTAATGAAATCCTGTACCTTTGCAATTCATTTTTATACTCAATTTTGATGAGTTTTCTAGTATAGCAATCATGTGGATGAGATGGTGCACTATGTAAATACATGGATTGTTTATCCAAGGATTACAACTTTAACATACACATTCTGAGAATGTCTGGTACATAAATAGATGCATTGCCTCTTATGTTCACAAACTCATTGGCCTTAAAATGACTCATCATACTACGTTAGTGTAACTCAGTAACAGCTAGTGACATGCAGGTAAAAATTGATGTTACTGGATGTTCCTTCTGTACATTTAGAGACTTTGAGTGACAGGAAAATGATGCACAGGGAAATCTGTGGTAGGGTGCTCTGCACAAAGTGACGCTGACTGTCAGAGTGTTTTCAAGTGATACTTCACTGGTGTCACACACACTTAGGGTCATGGTGATTTCCCCCAGAAGAAGGTCTCCTTGCTGCATTATCCATGGTGTGGCCTTACACATACAATTGTCAACTCTTCTTCCTTCTAGAACGTTGTGACATGCCACTGTTTGAGAATGCCACAGCCATCATCACTGGAAAAGCATTTAATCCCAATGACACGCTGGACTACCAGTGCGTGGATGGGTACGAAACCAGAGATGGACGCACCTCAGGCAGCATGGTGTGTGGCGAGGACGGCTGGTCCCGCTTGCCAAGCTGCTTCAGTAAGTATTTCATTTCCAGTGCTTCCTTTGTCATGAAAAGTATGTTTAAACGTACTGCTCCTTTGAGTGGAAATTATCTACCACACTTTTAAATCACAGGTTTACAATGCAGGACAGACTTCAGAATTCCTATGGAGCTTCATTTACATAGTCTGCAATAAAACTAGAATTTCTCCTCAACATTGAAAATGCTATTTTTTAGAATCTGCAGAAAAGTGTGGGCCTCCTCCAGCTGTTAACAATGGAGACATCACCTCCTTCCCACTGGCTGCCTACCCTCCGGGGTCAAGAGTTGAATACCAATGCCAGGCCTACTAGGAACTTCAGGGTCCAAAATACATAACCTGCAGTGATGCTAAGTGGTCCGAACCCCCGAGATGTCTACATAAGCTGTCCATATTCTTCCAGATCAGGAAAAAAATATAGTAATGTTTCAGTGCTCATACATACTCCAGCACTCCTGCGGAGGTACTCTAGACTGTGTTCTCAGACAGCTGTCCTGCCGGAGGTTGGACATTCTAACACTCACATGTAAGGCCAGATGCTGGGAAAATTCCTAAGTAAACAATGACAAAGTTTCATTAAAACAGGAAGGTTCAGACATGCTGATTTTTTTACCTTTTTTAATACTTTTATTGGGGTGAGTTGGTTAATAAAGATTATACAGGTTTCAGGTGTACAATTCTAGGATACATCATCTGTAGATTACATTGTGTTCACCACCTTGAGTCATCCTCCATCCATCACCATTCATCCTCCTTTTACCCTGTTCCAGCTCCCCTCATCCGTCTTCCCCCTGACAATTACCATATGTGGTCCATGTCCATGAGTCTACCCAGCCCCCAACCACCTCCCCTCTGACAGCTCTCAGTCTGTTCTCTGTATCCAAGAGTCTGTCTCCACTATTTTAGTTTATTTTCTTCATTAGATTCCACATGTAATGGAAATCCCGTGTATGTGTCCCCTTCTATGGGATTTGTAGCAACATCAGTGCTCCTGACCCTGGAAGTGGCAGCACTGGAGATCGACTGCACACCCACAAGTCAGAGTCGTCTAGAAATAGCTCCAACCTAGAGTTTAGGGGAAAAAAAGGTGTTGAAATTCCAAGATAAATTCTCGACCTCACCTTTGAATGACAAGTCTAAGATGTGATTCATAGCACAGGCATTCCCTTCTCCAAACACTGACAATGGGAACCAGTTATCGTCATCTGAGGACACAAAAGCAATTCTGTGACAGAGAGGTCAGACTGCATTCTGAGTCACTGATTGGAGATTTCAAGTGTTGAATCCCAGTCAGGTCATATATGTCCCCAGATGTGTGCAGGGGGCCACTGATGAAATTTCTCTCTCCCCTCTATTCCTCCCATCCCTCTCTTACTAAAACTCAGTAAATGTAAAGAAAAGTTCAATAGAAAAGCAGAAAGGGAATTCCTGGAATGGATGTTTGGAGGTATGTAGACCTCATATAGTACATACTTTTGGTTACTAACATACATGAGAATGTTTGTTGGACTTTGAAAACCTATGAATATCCCAAGTGATGTGAATTTTATGAAGCTTCATCATGTAAGAGTTAATGGGATGTGTGGGGACATAATTGGAGCTATTTCTAAGGCCTCACCAATGTCAGTGATGGTGGAACTAGAATGCAACACACTGGGGTGAACAGAAGAGACAAAGGAGGCCACGATGTGTTTGAACTTTGGCATATGATTGGATAAAGATGCGTACACATGTCAAAGGACTACCTCTCAGCTATAAGATGAAACACTGACATTTGTGACAACCTGGATGGACATTGAGAATATCATGTGAGTGAAATGTCAGACAGAAAAGGACATGAACCACACGGTTTCACTCATACATGGGACATAAAACCGAAAGAAATGGATGAACAAACAAGAACAACAACAAACAGAAACTAGTGAACAGACAACAGTATAGTGGTTCTAGAGGGAAAGGACAAGGGGGGGTACAAAGGGAAAGGGGTTCAACTATCTGGTGACAGAAAAAGACTTGACTTAGGAAGGTGGACACCAGATGATGTGGCAGAGAATCGCACCCCTGAAAGCTATATATTCTTATTCACCAACACCTCCCCAGCACACTCAACAGAAGAAAGTTAAAGTTACTCACATATAATAATTTCTACAATGCAGTAGCAGCTTGTTTACAGAAAGAGACAATGTCTACAATAATATTGTAACATATGAAATACTGCTTGCAGTCACATTGCAATAGCAATAAACTAGAAACTCTGATGTCACAAAACACTCCAAAAAAAGAAATATTTATAATGATTTTACACAAGAGGACACAGGGATATAGAAAGGTAGAGAAATTTGATCAAAACAAGTTGGGATTCAAATCCACACTATGTGTATATCTGTGCCTCTCTTGCAGCCAGTCTTGACATTGAGCAAGTAGAAGATGATAAATGACAGATAGATAGATAGATAGATAGATAGATAGATAGATAGTTAAGGTGTAATGGAATCATTGGGTGGATGGACGGATATAAAGATGATTTATATACATTTGTGTGGGTAAGTGTATTTTAATATTTAAGTAGATTCTTTATTACAAATATTGTGTTTTTTTAGGTCTCTTTCCACATGGTGGGCAAAACAGAAAAATACAAACATCAATATATTACCATTGAGATTACATGATCATCTTATGTTGTCCTCAACTATTCACTGGGTGGAAGCTTCATTGTCCACAGAAAGAAAGATTATTCATTGTTTTTATTTATTTCTCTACTTTCAGATCCCTGTGTCATATCTGAAGAAATCCTGAATGAAAATAACATACGGTTGAAAGGGAAAGAGGACAAGACACACTACGCAAAAACAGGGGATATCATTGAGTTTACGTGTAAACCGGGACATAGTGCAACGACATCCGGGCAGTCACTTGAAGCCGTGTGTCGGGAAGGGACAGTGCAGTTGCCCAGATGTGAATGAAGGAGCTTCCACCTGCTGCCCGTACTTGCTCATCACTTCTTAAAAATATCCAGACATTTCCTGCTCTTTTCTATCTTATTGTAGGGAAATCAGTACAATACAGTAGTTTGAACTTTGAAACTGATCTTCTCCCAAACGTGGTAAAATAAACTATGTCATCATTTACACTTGTACCAAGACAATCATTATTCACCATTTCAAGGACTGGACTAGTTGCCTGGAGACTATTGAATTCAGTATGGATGACAGTGTGGCTTTGTGCATCTTGGATTGGAGGTTTAACACTGAACACATGTGAGCTTAGGATTTACTGGGGGAGCTAACACAATGAAAACGTTAGATGGTAAAGCAGTGAGTGAGAAGAGGCCTGTCACTCTGTCCCCTTGCTGCTGTCAGCAGGGGGCCCTGGACCAGGGAAGGAGTTTGTGAGGGTGACACAGATCCATCCTTCGTCCTGCTCCCCTGTGTGTGGTCAGAACTGTGTCACAGTGTCGGGCAGTTGCTCTTCTATTTGCAAAAGCAACACCTTATTTGGAAGCTGCAAATCTTATACTACCTGATTATGGAACAGTTTCCTTAATGCAAAGTTAATATAGGAACTGAATTTTTATTTTCTCATAACTTATTCTCAAAGCACATAAAAAACAAAGTTTCTATCAAATTGAAGAGCTCTGTCTAATAACCAGTCTCCAATTTACTTAGGGCTAGGCTTCATAATCCCCATTCTTTATTGTAAGCCTCTGAATAGAGTACACCTTAAATGACCAGATACCTCAAAGCACATTAGTTACAAATATCTCAATGCCCAGGATGCACCAAAACTCTTGCACTCTGTGGTGTGGTGTATTAAGGGGTTTACAAAAAAATCAGTGCTTTTCTATGGATGACAAGGTACAGAGGCTAGAACTGGGTGTCCAGATACACGGATTGTCGCTCACAGACCCTAAGGACTGAGGCTGGGTGAGGACACATACAGGACAAGGGACAGTTATTGGGACATGGACTCGGACTTATTCACACTCCACCTATTGCTGGAGAAAGAACCTCGCCCAATTCAAAAGTTGTTTAATCTTAATTAGTGTTCCATATCGCTGTTGGATCAGGTGTGTTACTATTTCTAAGAAAAGTTACACAAGAACAATGAGAAAATAAAGTCAAGAAATGATTGTGAAACCATTAACAAAAATTTACAGATTTTGCAAAGCATTCTGGTAGTGCCCTTAAATTCAGGCTCACACTACCAACGGCTCACAAGGCAGAGTCAAACCCCACGGAGCACGGCTGGGATATTCGTGTTAATATACTGTTGGGGTTGCCCAACATGCTGCTGTCCCTGATCAGTGTCATTGTCACCTTGTGGGCCTCCCAGGCTCGTGGACAAGGTAAGCTGGGCACAGAGCTGCATGCTTAGCTTTCTCCAACCTGAAACTTCTTGTGGTTCCTACTTGCTTGTGTATCTGGGTTTAGTGAATTGACTCATAGCAATAGTGTGTATTGTGACATCACAAAAGAGAATATCTTGTAGGAAGATTAATGTATATTCATCTCAGGTGAAAATAAAATAGCTTTCTGTCCTTTCAGTTCCACAATCTGAATGCATCTCCACAGATATTAGAGAGTCATGGGAATATGCTCATGAAAACTTGACTGGAAAATGGGTGACAGAAAAGCTAGTTGATCACAAATTGTCTTCAGGAGTCTTATAACACTTGCTCTGCTCTTACAGACTTGACTCTTTTCCCGGCAGTGATTTCTGCATTATCCACCTGTCCTTTCTCTTTTCAGAAACAACCTGTGATCCTCCAGCTATTGCTAATGGTCTGTACGCACCTCTCAGGACCAAATACAGGCTGGAAGATGTAATCACGCACTGCTGTGACAATGGCTTTTATCCCTCCTCCTGAAGGAATGAGACAAGATGCACTGATGAAGGCTGAGCACCTTCTCCCAGATGCATCTGTAAGTTCCATTCAAATCATGACCTGTTTTCCTAATTCTGAAATTATTTTTCTTAAATGTAAAGATAAGGATGTAGTAAGTCTCCCTCCCTGACTTGCTGAGAATGCGAAGCAGAGGATCTCATTTCATCCATTGCTTTTCAAAGTGGCTGAATCTCAGTAAGATGAAATCTTACAATTGTAATTGAAAACTCTTTTAATTTGTACTCTTCAATGTTAAATATGTGCATGTGTTTATATCTCTAAATAATTTATTTCAAGTATCAGAACTAAAACTTTGGCTAAGACTAGTCTTATCTAACAAGTATGTTAGTCATGTATTTCTTTGTAAAAAACTTCCCCATAACATTCTGACTGAGAAGAACCACCCTCTCCTGACTCAGGGTCACAAGGGTCAGCCCTGGGGAGAGGTCCAGCCTCCTAGTTTCCCGGTCACTCTCTGGGCAGCACTGGGACACTGGCCCAGAGTGTGAGCTGAAGGCTGGGTGCAGCTGGGACCTGCTCCCAAGTGGGCACCTCCCTGGTGGTGCAGGGGCATCAGGGCCTTAATATCTGGCATCTCTGTAGGAGCCTCAGAGGCACTAATGTCCCCAGGGTGAGTGATCTGAGACACAAAGAGGACACCTCCATGTCATCTATGACCTGCTCACACATTGTCTTCTGAGCCATTCCTACCTTTAGAAGATGGTTCCTAGGTCCAGCCCACATTCAAAGGTGGGGCAGTGGGCTCCTTCTCTGAAGGAGGAGAGTGGGAGACATAGTTGATTTTCTGACACCATCACATGTCACAAAGTGCCACTCAGTTCAGCAGGGCATTTATTTCTGGGGAGGTTTCTTTGGCCTCTTTCCAAGAGCTTTCTGCCTTGATTTTCACGTTCCTCTTGCTCACGTATCAGTTCCCTGAAGAGGCGTCCACGCTGCAGCTGGACACTCCATGAGTGAAAAACAAAATAATGCTAATGGGAGGTCAATGGCCTCAGTGTCAGTTCAGGACAAATGTCCACATGAATGTGACAGTGTGATGCCCTTGGAGAGGATGCTGGCATCACTGTGACACAGACCTCAGTGAGCATGACCACCACGAGGAGAGTGTCTGTGTGCTCACCTAGACAGAACTGACAGGCAGCACTGTGTTGTTTCAGGTGTACAACAGACAGAGTCCGAGTGTGCACATGTCGTGAAATGACCAGAAACAAGTGTTCTTTACATCATCTGAGTTTACAACCTTTGTTGTCCTACAAACCCTAATGCAATGAGTGCAACTATGTTAATAATATAATTCATCTGGGAAACCATTTATCTCTCAGTAGATTCTATTAGAGGAAAACATAATTTATGCTGGTTTTTTTTTGTTTATCTCCACTGCAAGTTGAGTTTTGTGAATTTCCAGAAATAAAACATGGAGTCCTCTATGAGGGAAGACATATACAGAAAACATTTCCCCACTCCTGTGGGACAATGGTATTTACTATGCCTGTGAGGATTACTATGTGACTCCTCTCACACAAGCCTAAACTGGGCTATGATCACTTGCACACCAGAGGGATGGACGCCTAAAGTGCACTGTGTCCGTGAGTAAACCTCTTCCTCCCTGTGCCCATGGGGACCCTTTCGGGAGAGGAGGGGAACTAAACATCAGGGAGAACGATGGAGCCTGCATGACCAAGATATAGGTGGAGGGGCAGAGTTCTGATGAGCAGAAAGACCCATGTAGCTTCTTTGTTTTTTTGGAGGTTTCTTTCATTAAAACATGAAAACATGAGAGACAAAAATGGGACTCTACAAGAATACCTATGACATTTTATACATATTCTAATTGTGAAAACTACAGATAAGTCCTATTTAATATTGACTTTGCTTTTTAAAATCACTGTTGGTAGCAGGCTTTAGTTTTTCTCTGAAACTACTGTCTTAGGGATGCTAATGCATTCTCACTTTAAATATCCTAAAGATACATTTTTAATGTATTCCTTTGACCAAATTGATGGGGTTGTTTTCATGATCATTTTCCCATTCTCAGGAAAATGTGTTGTCAATAATTTGGAGCATGGACATTCTACAAGCAATGGAAAGACATATTTACAGGGTGAAACTGTGCAACTCCTCTGCAATCCTGGTTACAGCCATGGAAGCCCCCAGAGCATGCTCACATGTACAGAGAATGGCTGGTCCTCTTCTCTCTCTTGCCTCAGTAAGTAAACCGCTCTGGGGACCAATCTGTGACTTTCTGACACCCAGACATATCTCTGGGGAAAGCTTTATGTACCAAATCTTAAGCTGATGCATTAAGTCTTCTTTGTCTTGAAGACATAAACATGTTTCCACTCTAATTGTGTCTAAATAGTTTTTAATTTTTGATCAGGAGTAGATTATGTTACTTTTACTGAGTTAAATAACAATAGGACTATACCTTATGAAAGTCACTAAATGTTAAAGTTAAACAGATTAAAGTCACTTTAGTATTTACATTGAAAGCATGCTAATTTGTTCATTGAAAAGGAATTTAAAATAAGTTGAAATTATAAATAAATACACTGCCCAAAGTCATATACATATCACAAACATTTTACATATAATATACATGTATTAGTCCTAGGATGTAATAAATTTGGACTCTCTCATGGCAGTTATGACTGGCTTTCACATATTAAGTTGGCAGGAATCCATAAGTTGATCCATGGATGTTGTTTGAAACATAGAAAATTAATTTTATGGACATTGAACTATAAAACAATTTGCAGAGAGAGATGATGTTCAAGTGAAATGACTTAAGCAAGGAAGGAATTCTGTGTATTTGAGGACCGCTGATGGCCAGTGCAGCGCAAACAGAGCGGGGAGGAGGAAAAGTGGGTCAAGTCCAACCGGGAAGCCCTGAGTGAAAAGGAGCAGACCTGCAGGGAGAGCCCTGGGAGGTTCCCGTGGGGGAAGGGGTGCGTCTGCACTGATGGGAAGCTGCTCTGAGGCTGCTCCCCAGGAATGGCCCACAGTCCCTGATAGGACAGTCCAGGCAGTGGGACGACGGTACTCCAGGGGCGTGAGTAGAAATGGGGACGAGAGGATGTGTGGGAGGAATCTGTGGGAGTGACAAGATCTCCATCTGATGTTAGACGGCATGGGAGGAGACTCAGTAGGAATCTGTTTAAAGTATGTACAGAATGATCAAATCCCTGGGATTTTAACTGCAGAGGCTTATTTCCCCAAATTAAA